GGGAGAATGATGTGGTAGTCTGTTTCATAAAAAGTACAATCTTGGAAATCCTACTATAGATTGGAATTAACTCAGTGACCTGTAACAGCAACATATGTACTTGTACATAAGTAAGGTTTCATTTTACTGTGTGCATAATTGGAGCAACTTATCATTTTTATGTCCTAAATAACTTCTGGATTCAAAGGTACCTATGTACTATGAGTACCTTGACCTAAAACTAAAATTTGCATGGGGATTTCTGGTAAAATACCAATGATAAGAGAACTCTTTAGTTTTGTTTTTTTTTTAACTCTTTAGTTTTTGTGTCCTATAAGACTCCATCTTGCTAGAAAGTTTTGTTTTCTGCTCTGTACATATTGATGCTTCAAAAGCCTGCCTCAGGGATACACAGCATTTACACAGTCATTTTCACACCTCTGCACTGTCATTCTATTGTTTGAAGTCATGCTCTGTAACTGGTTAAAACAATGCAATAATATTCTTCAGCAGAGATTTCATGTAAATGTGTTTATGGAAATTGGTTTTAGTCAGAAATAGATACATTATACTATGATGGCATAGTAGATTAATTATTGGGTTGTTAATCTGAAGATTGCCAGTTAAGTCCTACTAACCTCTCTGCAGGGGAAAAATGAAGCCATTTCTCCATTTAGATTTAGAGCCTTGGGATTGACCCAATGATAATGAGTAATGATTGCCTTACCAAACAGCACAACAAAAAAAAACAGACAAACTGCCATCAAGTGAGAGTCCAGAGCTGCTCCGTTCTATTCAGACTCTTGCAGTGACACCACCCAATATCCACAACAACCAGAACAGCCTTGAGCATCTCATTTGAAGCCATGGGAAGGTCACATTCAAGTTCCAGCGTATCTGTTCCACAGGGGTTAAATGATCACCAGTGTAGAATGTTCAATGACTCCTGAAGGTCTTTGGAGAAGTCCTGGTAGCTCAGTAGTTAAGAGCTCTGGTCCTGGGGGAGCTCTGGTGGCCTAGTGGCAAGAAGCTGCACTGCAATCCCAGAGGAACACGGTTCACATCCACCAGATGCTCTGCCGGAGAAGGAGGCGCAGTATCCTCCTGTACCAGTCAGATCTGATTTGATGGCACACGCACACAAAATAATAATAAAGAAAAAAAAAAAAAGAGCTCTGGTCCTAACCCAAAGATTGGCAGTTTGAATCCAATCAGTGGCTTCATGAGAGAAAAGACTTAGAGATCTGTAACCATCCAAATTGCAGGCTAGAAAACCCTGAATTTTGGTTTTGTCGCATGGGTTTGCTCTGACTGAGGGCGCCCAACTACAAAAAAGCTCACTGGATAAGCTTTGGTTGCCAGGTCCTGCATAAAGTATCATATTCTAAGGAAATGGAGTTCTAATCATATAAATATTGCTTCTCCTTACCAAGGCCAGTTAAAGAAAAACAACCCACAAAACAACATCCCTCAGTACTATCCAGATTGGCACAGGATTTAGGGCTGTTGTACATAGGGTCTCTAGGGGACTCAATGCCACATAACAACAACGGCAACTCACTATTATAAAAGCACAAAAACATTGAGAAAAAGATCAATTCTGTTTTAGATACTGCATTTGCATCTGTTTCATAGCATCCATTTTTCGCCTGATTTAAAACATTAATAGAAGCCTTGGTGGTATAGAGGTTAAAGCACTCTACTGCTAACTGAAAAGTCAGGAGTTTGAACCCACTGGCTACTCTGTTGGGGAAACATGTGCTGGTTGGCTTTTCTAAAGATTTACAGCTTCAGAGACTCAACGGTACCATTCTATTTTGCCCTCCAGGGTTGCTGGGGGTTGGGATCAATTTGTTGGTAGTGGTATTTGGTTTGGAGGACTTTTTTTGGGGTGAAGGGGAAAGTTTAAAAAGAACTGAATAGCCTCTTTCAAAATGTTTAGTGTGCAGAGATAATTCACATATGTATCCACATTTGTTTCAATGTATTCATTAAAAGTATTTACACAAAAATACCACAAAGAAAAAATGTCAAAATTTTAATGTGCTTAGAGTTTAGATAGTACCTGACATGTCTTGAGCATGTTTTCACAAAAATACGTTCATGAAAGCAGTAGTGCACAAGAGTTTATTTAATGTGTGAAGTAATATACCAGGCAGACAGGGTCACTACTGCTAGTAATGTTTATAGGAAACAGGGCATTGTAACAGAAGTGGAAAAAAAAAACGCCAGAGCAATCATGAATTAGTGTACACAAAATTCACAGTCCATCTTAAGTACATTACCGTTTTATTTCTAGAAAAATATCTTCTATAGGGAATTTAATCTTCGCCTCAATTATACAGTGAACGCTTTATGCGTATTCATCTTTAAAAGACATTCCTTAAAATTAAAAAAATTTACAAAACCAGTAACATACTACTTAAGTAATTGATAATAAAAGTAAATATAAGAATAATGCAAGATTAAAAATCTGAGAGAAAATATAAAATAACTACTATCATTAATCCAGTGGTTCATAACTTTCACTCCAGCATGCGCTCACTGACAGTTTTGTGTGGGTCTTAGATTATAGTCACCTATTCAATATAGCCAACAAAAAATTCTTAAATTAGTCCTGGGCTTTAGGGAATGTATAGGCCCTGAGCAGACACTGGGGTCTAAGAGACATTGCCCTCAGAGAGCTTATAGTCTAGTGAGGGTGCCAGGTGAGAACGCCATATACCATGAGGACCACGATCCTGCGGCCTGTTGTCGTAGAGGAAGAACAGCTAGCTGGGCCTGCAGGATAGGAGGGAATTGGGCAGATGGAGGAGAAAAGGAGGGTCCAGGCAGAGAGAGAAAGACATGCAAGTCAGATGATAGTAGGTGAGCACACAGGCAAGAAGGCACTCTTAGCTTAATGTGACTGTAAGAAAGGAAACAGCCCAGGAAGAAGAGGAGCTCTGGTGGCTGGGGGGTAAGGAGTTGCACTGCCAACCCAAAGGCAGATAGTTCAAATCCACCAGCTGTTCTGAAAAAGTAAGATGAGAGTTCTCCTCCCTTGCGATTTACAGCCTCTGAAAACCTGCCAGGGGGGTTAGATTCAATGGCATCTAATAACAAAAAGTGCAAAGCACATGGTATATTCCACAGCAGTGGCTCCCAGACCACAGTCCTCAGCTGCTTGTCAGGTCAGAAGGAAATACTATTGAATTTCATTCTCCATGTTCACATAGCCACTCCATTTTCATGAGCAAATATAATTTCATGAACAAAAATAGTGGCCACATTATTTTCTGACATTACAATGGTGCCTCTTTTGGGGAGTGACTATGACAAAGATGACATGTTAAAAATAGACTGCTGTATTTTTAAATGTAACAAAATAGAAAATTACTGGTATCTAAAACCTGGAAGTCTGGGAATCACAGCTCAGAGAATGAATTTCTAGCAGAGTGTTTATTATGGTTTTACAGAAGAGAGAAACAGGTCATCAAGAATAGAGCCAAAGAGGAAGGTGGGAGTTAGGTGGGCCATGTGAGAAATTTAGACTTTATCCTAAGAGCAATGGGAATGATTTTAAGGAGGAGGGTGATATCTTTATTTGTTAAAGATCAGTGTGGGAGGTTAAATGTAGAATGTGGATGAGAGGAGATAGGCAGGCCAGCTAGGGAGAACTGAGGTACCCCAAGGAAATAGAGGTAAGAGCATTAAGACTTACCCCAAAGGGAGAGGATAGGAGAAGATTACTTCAAGAGAGAAATTTAATAAAATGGGGTGATTCGTTATACCATGTATGGAAAATAAGGGAAGAAGGTCAACTGATGTGCATAATTTTGCTTTGGGAAACTGGATTGATGAGTGTGTTAACTACAAAGTCAGAGAATATAAGAGCAGTATATTTTGTGTACGTGTAGAAAAAAAATAAAAATCTAGTTATAAATACATGTTTTACCTATTTAATTATAAACATACATTTATAGATATTGTTTGTGGAGAAATATAGATATGTTGAATTTGAGGTATGTTTCTGTTCAAATCCTTCTTAGGCCAATTGTCCACACAGATCTGAGGTATATAATAAAAAGTTAGCAGTCATTAGCATATAGATAGTATTAAAATCATAAAGGTGAATAAAATGTCTCAGTGAACATAGAATAAAAGCAGAATGGAATTTAAAACACATCATTAGGAAGCCCTGTATTAAAGGATGGTCAAGACAGAAAAGAGACCGATAAAGAATGTCCAGATGGGTGGAGGGGTGCTAGGAGGACAAGGGGCCTGCAAACCCAGGGAGGAGACCTTTTGAAGGAGGAAGCAGCTAAGAGTGCTGAATGCTGTGGAAATCCATGAAATAAAGACTGAAGAATGTTCACTGCATTTAACAAGGAGACTGTTAGGGACCCTGAGCTGAGCAGGGAGGGAGCAGAGGTGAGCGGTGAGCATGCCGGCATGAAGACTCTTAGAGTGATTACAAGAGAGCAGAGAAACCGCTCAGGAAGAAGAGGGGCTGTGGGTTTGTGAGAGTGGTTAATGTTAGTATACTTGTCTTTGAAATATAGATGGAAGCTCTGGTGGCTCAGGGGTAAAAGCTGTGCTGTAATCACAAAGACATACAATTTGAATCTACCAGTTGCTCCATGGGAGGATGGACAGTCTCCTCCCGTGCAATTTTGTGCCTCGGCAAAGGTCTTGAAGGGTTAGCTATGGATTGGTTTGCCTCGCAGGCATACAATAACAACAGAGACTTGCCTAAATATCAGTTCATAGGCAGGAACTCCTTGATACAAAGGGTTCTAAGACTTGTTGCAAGTGACGTTCATTAGTAGACATTCAAATCTAATATAATGACCATCTTAAAAAAAAACCCAAACTTAGAATGTTCTTAAGATAGAAAATTTGTGTTCCCTTAGAACACATGATCTGTCTACACAATGGTCATATGTGGATTTACATACGGTTAGAAGATAGAAGATGATTCCAAAGAAAGTCTTGAAAGAGTAAGTTATTAAAAATACTTTAAAATGTTATCTTTACAACTATGGCAATTTCAGCCCCTGTCCGTAGAGATCGTATTCTTTAAATAATAAATATCTTCGTATAATTGGTGGTAGAGGAAGCATCTCCATGGACGTTGGCTGGCAGAGTCTCTGCAGGCCCATCAGTCTTCGAATTTTTAATCGGCACAAATGTTTTAATGAACAAGGATTCTCTAAAAAGAATGGGGAAAACAAAGAGTCAAAACATTATTAGGTGAAGAAATCTTCTTTTGAATAATATGAATAATACCATTCCGGGGGAAAAAATATACAAACTTAGGGACTTTAAGTAAAACAGAAATTACAATTAGGCATTCTACATCACTCCTCTAGATCTTACATGCCATGAGGGCCGAGATTTCCTGTCTGCCAAGAGGAAAGCACAGTTCATAGCCAACATTCAACTAAATTTTCTGAATGAATGAATCAGTGAACTTGACTTAAGAAAGCATATTCAAACATTTTCCATTTTCTTTTTAAACTGAGTGTTAGGGACCTTTATTTCTTTACGTCTTCTCTTGTCTACCTGTACTTCAGATGAGTTATCCAGAAACACCTGATACAAATAATACTGTGTATTTACGATTTAATCTCGGATTTGTTTCTAGTAACTGATGGCTGAATAGTTTACATTTTTCCCCAAAAACAACAAAGCTTTCTCCACTATCTAACTTAAGTCTCTACTTTCAATTCTTTGTTATTTATATTACCCTTAAAATAGCAATGCAATAAATATATCTGTAATATTGCATATTACTGCATATACAATATTATTCAGTCTGTATACTGAGTAAATAATTAAAGAAGCTGGACTATATGAAGACCACTGTGGCATCAGGATTTGGAGGAAGATTTACCAACAATCTGTTTTATGCTGATTGACACCACCTTGCTTGCAGAAAGTAATGAAGACTTGAGGCACATTCTGAAGAAGATCAAAGACTACAGCCTTTACTATGACTTATACATGAACACAAAGAAAATAAAAATCCTCCCCACTGGACCAATAGGATGCATCATGATGTTTTTGTCGTTGTTATGTGCCATCGAGTCACTTGCGACTCAGCGATCCTATGTACAAGAGCCCTAAATGCCATTCTATCCTGTGCCAACCTCGCTGTCTCAAACACATTCATTCCCACCACTCCAGTCACAGAATCGATCCATCTCATCGAGGGTCTTCCTCTCCTGCACTGTCCCTCCACTCTCCCAAACATGATGTCCCTCTCCAAGGACCAGTGCCTCCTTGCAACATGCCCAAATATGTCAGACAAAGCTTCAGAATAGATGAAGGGGAAAAAAGGATGTTTTCAATTTTATTTTACTTGGATGCACAATCAGTACCTTTGGTGGGAGCAATTACAAAACCATGTTGCATAGGGCCAATTTGTTGTCAAGGATGTCTTTAAAGTACTAAAAAGCAAGGATGTGAATTCAAAGACTAAAGTTTGATTCAAGCCATGACATTTTCAGTGGCTGTGTGAAAACTGAACAATGAGTGTTAGGGACCTAGAACAATCGCTACCTTTGAGCTGTGGTGGTGAAGGGTACCGGCTATCCCATGACCTGCCAAAAGAACGAACAAATCTGGTTTTGGAGGGAGTACAAGCAAGTGTGTTGCTTACACAAAGCCACCAGAGCTCCTCCCTTGCAGACAAGGCCAGTGAAACTTTGTCTCATTCACTTTGGACATTTTGCTAAGAGAGGTTAGTCTTGGGGGTGGGGGTGGGGGGGAAGGTTCTTAATGGGATCTATTAACACAGTGATTGCAATTACAACCTTGAGCATGTTGGAAATCCTGAGGAGGCCTCAGGAGAGGGTAAGGTTTGGGTAACTTGTTTATGGACCACCATGAGTGGTAGTTAACTCCATGGCATGTAACAATAACAACAACAATACTGAGCAGGACAAGTGGTTAAAGTGCTTTCTGTTGACCAAAGGGTTGGAGGCTTAAGTCACCCAGAGGAGACTGAGAAGAAAAGCTTAACAGTAGAATTTCAAAAAGTCAGCCATGACCATCCTGGGGAGAAGGGTCCTACGCTGGCATGCACATGGCACCACCACGGGCGGGCGTCGACTTGATGGCAACTGTTTCACAATTGTTTGTGGCATTTAATGAAGAGGTTAAAAGGCGCCTGGCTTTAGATCAAGGACTCTGAACTCAGATGGTTGTGATTAAATCCCCGACTCCGCCAGATTCGTGTGACCCTAAACAAGTTATGCAACCTCTGGGATCTCCATACTCTCATCTATAAAATGTAAATAATAACGGGACCTACCCCATGGCTTGGTGATTAAATAAGTTAATTAATGCAAAGTATTTAAAAAGTGATCTGCACCTTTTAACCGCTCAATAACTGTCAATAAAATAAAAATGTGAACCTTTCTATTATATTTAAAATACCCACGTTTGTTGTCAATTTATTGTCCTCAAATAATGTTTTCCAAAGATGATTGAGGGGAAATTATTACTATCAAAATAAGCAGAGTAAATGTATTTTTTAAGTTACCTTTTTCTTTTTTTCTGCCTTACACATACCTGGAAGAATCCTGACATCCAGTGGTTAAGCATGCTCATAGCAATCCACTGACTTAACACTGCACCTGCAAAGTCGTGTAGCTAACCCAAAGGTCTCTCACCTCTGATGGTTCACATCCACCAGGTTCTCTTCAGGAAAGCCTTGGAAACTTGGTGAAGGTGCACTATGAGTTGGAATTGCCTCAATGGAAGTGAGTTTGGTTTTCATTTGAACCAACAGGGTGGAGACTTGAGTAGATCAAGAAGTGGCTTGGAAGAAAGGCCTGGCAGTCTAGTTTTAGAAAAGCAGCCATCGAAAAGTCCATGATACAAACAACAAATGCTAGCAAGGTTGTAGAGAAACTAGGACCCTTATTCACTGTTGGTGGGAGCGTAGAATGGTGCAACCACTATGGAAGGCAGTATGGCACTTTCTCAAAAAGTTGGAAATAGAAATACCATATGACCCAGCAATTCCAGCAATCCCACTACTGGGAATATACCCTAAAGAAACCAGAACTGCCACCCAAACCTATGTTTATTGCTGCTTTGTTCATAATAGCAAAGAGATGGAAACAACCCAAGTGCCCATCAACAAATAGATGGATAGAGAAGCTGTGATATAGGCACACAATGGAATAATACTACACAGCACTGAAAAATAAAGAACTCATGAAATATTATACAAGATGGGTGACCTTGGAGGACATTGTGCTGAGTGAAATATCTCAGTCACAGGAGGACAAATATTGCATAATGTCACTGTTATAAAATAGGACTAACAGGAGGATTAGGGGGAAACTAAGAAAAAAAAAGGGGGGGATAAATAATGTACACTGCATTGAAACAGATGAGGGCAAGAATTGTTTAAAAGGAATTTGCAATTAGGTATTATTTGTATGACAACCGTCCAGAATAAGACCTACATAGCAAAGTGGACAGCAGTAGGGGTGGTGGAAGGAAATTGTGAAAAAAAAATCAAAGAATTTTTTTTTCAATGAGAAAAGCTAGCAAACTGGGGAGGGGGTGGACGGGAAGAAAAATGTGCAACAATGAATGAATGGAAATAAAAAGAGAAAACTCCATGATGCAGTTTGGCTCTGATTCTCTTGGGGGACACCATCAGTCAGAGTTGACTAAGTAACAACGTTAAAGTCATTACACCAGGCGAGCTCTGGTGGCCTAGTGGCAGGAAACTGCACTGCAATTCCAGAAGTGCATGGTTCAAATCCACCAGATGCTCTGCTGAAGAAGAAGGAACAGTTGCCTCCTATACCAGTCAGAACCAATTTGACGGTACATGCATAAAAAAAAAAAAAAAGTCATTACACCAAGACCTCTGCAGTCATTTTGAGTTGCCCAAACTCCTTTTTTAGAAGAATCTCTAGGAGCCAGAGCAATCATCACCCAAGTTCTTGAATGTAGACATTCACTCAAAAGTCTTTTTTGCCGTGAATGGGTTCTTGACTTTTTTTCTTCCCACAGGCGTTCTTCAGTGTATATTACTTCATGTTACCTCAATATGAAGCCGATGGAAAGCATGTTTAATGATGAACTCATTTTACTCTCTACTAGTGTATTTCCTTGCTACCATGATCAGATTGACTGATAACATGTGAAAGAGTAGGATTAACCGGTAATAGCTAAGGACGTGTGGACAAAGGAGATTAATCAGAACTGGTTTTGATGGGGACTATGGCAACATGACAATGGAAGCTGATCCTCAGGGAATGCTGCTTTATTGGAAGTATTTTTGTGAACTTATTTTGCTTTCTCGGTTATATTTGCTTGATTATATATAAAGGATTATCAGACAAGGAAGAATGAATCCTGAAGAGGAGAAATTATGCTCATCTTGATGATCTCAAAATTATGATTTAAACAAAAGAGGGGGAAATGAGGGAAGCCGAATATCAAATTTAGTAATAGACCAAATGCTGTATCAGGAAATGAGGGAAGCTTAATACAAGCTGAAGGTCACCTTGTGGCACTGGGGCATTCCCTAGGAGTCAACATTGTTCTTAGTTTGTGTCAAATGAATCCCTCCCTCTTGAGATTAGCATAAAGAGGAACTTGGCCTTATCTGTAAAAGACTTCACCATTATCCTTTGTTTTTGTTTTGTACTTCCTTCTGATTTTACTTTGTTTACCTTCCTTTTGATTCTAAATAAATACTCAGAGAAGCATGGTTTGGGGCCTTCAGTCATGGGAACTGTTGGCCCCCTGTTTTTCACACTCTCTGCTCTATATATATATAAAAAAAAAGAAATACTGAGATGAAGCCTCACTATAGCACCATCTTTCTCCGAGAGGCCTTCTCCCTAACAAATAGGATAGTTGAGTCCGCTCCACATTTCAGTTTCATCTTGGCGGCTGTAAAATGTAACTGACTCAATCTGGACACAATTTGCTTGAGTCAAAAGAAAAGATAGCTGCATTTTTATGTTAATGCATCCAAGACTTATCTAGGTGTATTAAGGGGGCCAGATTATTGGAATGTCATGAAGAATTCTATAATACCACTTAGGTTTCAAGATAATAATGCCCAAGTGGGCTTCGAAAAGTGCATTTGTCCAAACTCATCTTTTGAAGGGGGAAAAAAAATCTTCAGCCTATGCTGCCTACTTTCTATTTATGTGTGTGTTTGTTTTAAAATTTACTTTTTTGGAATAATTTAAAATGTAG